TGATTTGTCCCAGATAATGAAATCACTGATGATAATTGTGTTTCAGTGCTTTAGATGTATTGTTATATTCTGTAAAACTAATGGAAAAATAAAGGTAATAACCAAGCACTTGTAACTATTTCCTGATATTTCTAATTTAAGTATATACCATCATCACAAGGAGCCTTGCTGGTACACTGGTTAAGAGCATCGCTACTAACCGAGAGCTCAGTTTTAATCCACTATCTTCTCCACAGAAGCAAGATGGAGCAGTCAGCTTCCATGAGACCAGTCTTCGAAACCCGACGGGGCCATTCTACTCTGCCCTAGAGGGTCGCTGTGAGTCGTAATCAACGTGCTAGCAATGGGTTGTTGTTTTTTAACACTATAATTTAATACTAGTGTATATAAATATATACTATAGCTAATGGTTCTTATAGTTTTACTTTGTTATCACTGCTGAGTACGGTCAAGTCAGAATCAACCCATAGCTGACTCGTCAGTGGGCTTTCAGAAGCAGTAAATCACATGGGAGGTGATAATCCATCTTTCGCCGGTGATTTTTGCTGGTGAATTAGAGCCATACACCTTTAGAATACTTAATTTTCCTAGAAGACAGTGAGATTAAGCGCTAGTCGCGCTAGTCTGACAGACACTTCAAGCAAAAAAGGTCAGGTTTGGGTCAGTCTTTCTGCCTCCATTCAGTTCTGTTACTGGGTGTTATCAAGTTGATTCCAACCCACAGTAACCACATGTGACACAGCAGAACTGCTCCAGGTTTCTTGGCTATCATCTTTATAGAAGCGGTTTGACAGGTCATTTCCCTTACAGAACCAACCAACAGAGTTCTTAACCACTGAGACACCAGGGTTTTCAGTGCCAGGCCTCAGCATTCATATCGCCCTACTAGGCAGGAAATGATCTGTGGATATTCAGCTAATGAGGCAATTAGGATTAATTTTTAAAGAACCTGACTATTACTCTCTTGAGAATTTTTTTTGTGAATCTCTTCCTTAGGAACTCTCTTTCCATGAAGTTGTGTGGAGAGGAGTTAAACATATTTTGAGCAGAGGGCCAGTCTCGTTGATACAGTCTAGTTCTTTTAAGTATTATCTGTAGTTACTAAGTTACATTCCAGAGAATTCAGAGAGAGAATTCTTTGTTTTTTAATTCAGGGCCGCAGGTTTTAAATAGATTAGAGTCCAGTCATAAGACTGTCTCCCTTCTTTTAGACTATTCTTCACCCCCACTTCCATATTTGTTCTCCACCAATTAATTATTGCAAATGAAAATCTAGAGCTTTGCAAATCAATACCAAAGGCATAATGTTAGCAAGTTCCCAACATCATGCCTGGGTAGAATGTGTTTATCAATTAGACCATTCCAGGCTAGAATCAGCTGGAAAAGGGTCAACACTTTCTGTAAAAATGCGGACAGTTAATTTCTTAACACTTGTGAGTTAAATACTTGTTAGTCTCTATTATAACTACTCTATTGTTGAAGCTTGAAAGCAGCCATAAAACCAGTACCTTCCAAGTCAATTCCAACTCATGGTGACCCAGGTTTGTCAGGGCAGAACGGCTCTCCATAAGATTGTCAATAGCTGATCTTTCAGATTAGATCACCTTTCTTCTGAAGTACTTGTGTGGGTTCAAACTGCAAAGCTTTCAGTTAGTAATTAAGTGGCTATATAGAAACATGTTTGGATATGGCTACATTCCAATAAATATTTATTTATTCAAAAGAGGTAGGCTGGAATTTATAGTTTCCTAACCATTGTTAGACCACAACATAGCTTCCAGAGTTTGAAGTGGCATCTAACTGATGAGAAATAATGAAAAGAGAATGACATTGTAAAAACTGATGGATTTAATGACAAATATTCCATACTGGTTGCTGAACAACAGAATCCTGTTCAAGGAACCATTATTAAATAAAACCTGAAAATAAGGCAGTTCTCACATACATAAGCACGCATTCACGCAAAACATATTACTTTTAAGATCATTAAATTAGTCACTATTTTAACAAAATGCTGTAAAATAACATTACAGTGAAACAAAATGTGCACAAACTTCAGAAACTCAGTTCAGATTGTCTTTGAACACAGGTTCCTAATTTGTACTTTTTCACATATGTACAGTCTCCTGATCTTGAAGAGACCACATGGCTCAAAAGGGTGAACTTCTCTTCTCCTTCCAACTCAAAGTTCAAGATTTGATTAAATCAGATGGCCTAGCTAGCCTGGTCCAGGCTTTGCTCAGCAAAGGGAGGCAGAGGAAGCCTGCCTTGGACCAAACTCCCCGGGAAACAAATAATACATCTGCTTTTACAATTACTGAAACCGTGGAAGGACTCTCCCAAACAGATGAACATTTTCTGAGTGAACCACAGTTAACCAGGTATGGTGAAGAAATACTATTATTTCAAAACCAGATTTCAGAAGCAGGCCTCCAAAATTATTTAACCCTTACATAATACAGATAAGTGCCCTGAAGAGTCATAAGAAAAATAGAATCACATTTTAAAAGCACCATAAGAGTGGTGTCTGAACTAGTTTCTTCTTATGAAGGATTGGCTCATAGAAGGGAAACTGAAGTAGTAGTTGACTTGTCTTGATAACAGGAAAATATGTGAGGTAAATAAAATTCAAAGATCTCCACTGCCGATTATTTTTACTTTATCTTCTCTCCATATGGCATTCATTCTCTAAGGCTACTGATGTGTAACCTATTTGATGCAGATGAGACTGTGCTATTGCATGTATGAACACTGGCAGTCGTAAACTGGGCAATCAAAAGATGATGAGATTTCACAGACACAAACTTGAGCAAACTTAAAACAGCTGGAGGAGGTAGATGTGCATGGGCGGGGGGGGGGGGGAATAACAGTATTACCTATAAATTGGCTGTATTATTTTAAGGTGAGTCTAATGACGTTTTTATTGAGACTACAAGAGTCAGAATAAATACTGAACTCTTTTGCTTGATTTATTCCAGGCTAAAAGAAAATAAAAAGAATTAGTGTCTATGTTTTGAACAGATACTTGCATTTGTGAATAACAATAAACTGACTTAAGAAGGCAAGATCTTAGACATTACACAAATCTAAAATTCTCAGGATTGCTTTCAAATGGCAAAAAAATCATGTTTTCTGACAATCCCCAAAATGTCTTTGCCAGAATGTAACGTGATCAAGTAACTGAGACCATAAAAACTTGAAAGTGGTAATAATGTTGAAACTTTTTAAAAATGTTAACTCTTCAAGTGTGTTTAACAGTTTGTGAAGATGCTTCCAAGAAAAAGTACAGGGTATCAAGTGCTAGTGAAGAAAGAAAGAGTGCTTTCCTCATCCTAACTTCTAAGGGCTAACCGAGGGGTGGGATTTTCAGCATAGACAACTGAAATCTATACAAGAGGACTCTATCTATAGCCCCTTCCTAGGAATAGATCATAGCATGGACACCCTAATTATGAGACAAAGACCAGCTTTGTCAACAAGGACATCTTTGGCCCTTCTAGACTAGCCTTAAGCTTTCCTATTAAGTATAAGAATTTTCAGTGTCATCAGATTATTATACAAAGAACAAGTAAGTCTTTCTAGCAGCCGAGCTGGAGAGCACAAAAAGTCAAACCACACCAATTCACACTGCTTCCAGCTGCTCTTCAGGACAACTTGAAGCACTCTTAGACCCAGACCTACCTTAAGACAGGGTTCATAATACTGCTTTACCTCACCATGAAGTGAGAAATAATTAACAATCATCAAAAAACATAAAGCACTTTACAAATATAAAAGTGCTATTTTGGCATTGCTTTTAACAATCAGGAAACATTCATTGCTTGTGCTATTTGGCAATTTTGCATTAATGCCTCTCCCTGACCATCCCCTCCCTGTATAAAGCCTTGAGCTTTCTACTGTGCCTCCACGTGCCAGAAAAGGAAATTCCTGCTCAAACATGATCCCACATTAATAGAGATGGAGCTGGGATTCTGGGTAGCTCTCCTGCTCCTATTACTAAAGCAGGGGAGAGGTTACCCACTATGCAAAACCGTAAGCAAATCAGACAAAGGAGTCTTACATCTCAATTCATGAACACTTTGCTTTCCTGAATCTCTCGCATATGGCCAGCAAAACTTTGAGCATGATGACTTTATGGCAGGTCTCTGGGACAACGATTAATGGTTGAGGTTCACTGGGAAAAACACAGTATAAATCAAGCCTGGAAAGGGGAAAGTCACACACGTAGTTGGGACTATTCCATTTCTCTGCATTTAAAAGGTCACAATTGAGACCTGAAGAAGATACTGTGCCTGGCATACTCCTGACACTAGGGGCAGGAGGCCAGTCTTCCCTGTAGACCATCCTGACCCAGCAAGAAGCAAAGGAATAAAGGAGATGGACTTGGACTCCCCAGGAGATCTCAGAACCAATAAAGAGTAAATTTCAGGACGCTCCCTTGAAATAAGGATATGTGGTTCCTCTCCCCAAGCTTCTCCCTGTATTTCTCAAAACAGCAACTGAGGCTGGATGAACCAAGGGAAGAACATGGAAAATGCATTTTCCTACATTACTGACACTCTAGCAGATATGGGGGCAGGGCAAATACTGGCTTTAACACCTGGTGGTGCTAGAGCAGAATTATTTATACCTGCTTTGCATTTGGCCCCATAATCTTATTTCCAACCACACCTCTCTCTACTCTTCTCCCTGCCTTCATATTCCACCTAACTCCTCTTCCTCAAAGTGCCTGGTCCCCAGTTCTTCATCCTTCCCGATAATGAATATTTGAGAAAGTCATCAATCTTAAGCACATCTCCTGAACATGTCTTAAGATAGTGACAATGCAGGCAAAATACAGCAAACTAAAAAAGTATTATCCAACCCTCCCCTTCAACACCCGGGAACACCAAGAAGCTCCCAGTACCTCTTGGCTCTCTCCCACTTTTCCCCACAAAGTCTGTCCCCAGGACATCAATTTTCCCACATACTGCCCCAAGGCGCTCTCTGAAGGCCAGACCCTAGCACAGGTGCAGCTTCTGATGCTGCGCTAGGTGCGTTTTGTAGCGGAAGGCCTTGCCACAGCCAGCGCACTTATGGGGCTTGTTTCCTGTGTGGATCCTGCGGTGGCGGATGAGGTGCGAGCTCTGGATGAAGCTCTTGCCGCACTCAATGCACGTGTAGGGCTTCTCACCCGTGTGCGTGCGCTGGTGCTGGGTGAGCGTGGAGAAGTCGCTGAAGCGTTTCTCACACTGCGCGCAACGGAAGGGCTTCTCGCCCGTGTGCACGCGCAGGTGGTTCACTAAGTGCGAGTTGCGGCCGAAGCCCTTGCCACATTCCCGGCACACATAGGGCCGCTCGCCCGAGTGCGTGCGCTTGTGCGTGAAGAGGTGCGAGCTCACGCTGAAGGTCTCGCCGCACTCGGAGCACATGTAGGGCTTCTCGCCCGTGTGAACGCGCTGGTGCTTCACTAGGTCCGAGCGCCAGCTGAAGCGCTTGCCGCACTCGCCGCAGCCGTGAGGCTTCTCGCCCGTGTGTATGCGCTGGTGGTTAGCCAGGTGCGAGCGGCGTACGAAGCCCTTCCCGCACTCGCCGCAGGCGAAGGGACGCAGCGCCGCCGCCCCCGCGCCGCTGGCCGCCGCGTGCGCCCGCCGGTGGCTCAGCAGGTGCGAGCTGAGGCTGAAGGCCTCCCCGCACTCGGGGCAGGGGTAGGGCTTCTCGCCCGTGTGCAGGCGCCGGTGCTTGAGCAGGTCGGCGCGCCAGCTGAAGCTCTTGCCGCAGTCGGCGCACAGGTTGGGCCGCTCGCCGCTGTGCAAGCGCAGATGGTTGGTGAGGTAAGTGTTGCGGCTGAAGCCCTTGCCGCACTCGCCGCAGCGGAAGGGCTTCTCGCTCGGGGGCCGGGCCAGCGCGGGCCCCGCCCCGAAGCCCCCTGCCACGCCCACCATTCCCACCACCGCCTCGCACTCGCCTCTCAAGTCGAAGGGCTCCAGTCCCGCCACTGCGGCCGCCTCGGCCAGGCTGTGGATGCGCTGGTGCTGCAGGAAGGCCGTGCCAGGGCTGAAGCTCTCCCCACAGTCGGGGCAGATGGTGGGCGCGTCCATGATGCTGGCCACCAGGCTGTCGAACTCCCCGAGGTCCACGGACACAGGGTGGTGGAGCCGGCGGAAGCGGCGATGGGCCGCCTTGTCGCTCCTTTGCCGACTCCCCAGAGAGAGCTGCCTCCGCCAGGGAAGCACTGCTGGAGGTGGTTGTGCCTCTTCTTCCTCCAGCCGGTTCTCTCCAGCACTCTCCTCCTCCTCTTCATCTTCCTCTTCCTCTTCCTGGGGGCTCCTTGATATGCTGTCAGACTCAGATAGTGCTGGGAACATGGCCAGCTCTGCTACGCCAGTGTGGTCTTCCTCGCGGAGAGCAGTCCCCTCTTCCTCACTCAGCAGCCCCTCTGCAGTGGAAGAGACAGCAGTGGGAGATGACTATATTGGGCGGCTAAACCCTCAATAAGAAGTAGGCCTAGGAGTAACCCCAACTTTTGGACATTCTCTACCCCTCCCAGAGGTTCCTGCCATTGCAGCCCATCCTGGTATGGCCTAAGCGTTCACAAGGTCTGGGAAAGCTTCCTCACCAGCCCTAAATCTCTTCTGTGCTTGCTCCCAACCCCTACATCCCAGGGATCCCCAGCAGAGCCCCTCAGAAGGTCAGACTGGCCATCTGTGTAGAAAAGTGAATGTAAAGTCTGGGTCACGTTCAGAGAAGAGACAGATTTGGCCACTTCAAGAGTTATCAGTGCCTTTGAAGACTCTGGCCTCAAATAAAGCAAGAGTATTTCAGCCACCCTCAATATAATTAGGCCCTAGACTGGTTTTTAAGTAGGTAGGTCGGTGTAAGGAGGGACAGGCCCTTGGAGAGGGACGGCACAAGAAGGGAAGACTCTCTATGAGGTGGATTCATTCAGTGACTGGGGAAATAGGGATGGGTGTGTCAGAGGCAGTGTGATTGGCACAGGATCGAGTAGGATTTAGGGATGCTGTACATAGGATCGCTATGAGTTGCAAGTGACTTGACAGCACATAACAACAACAACAGGTCAGTGTATAATACCTTAGTGATCAGTACAATGTGTGTTGGTTTGCTAGCCAAAAAGCCTCTGTTTGGAATCTACCAGGCGCCACACCCAGAGAAAGATGAGGCACTCTGTTCCCTTGTATGGTGCACAGGCTCAGAAACCCTATGGGGCAGTTCTGCTAAGTTTTACAGGGCCACTCTGAGTCAGAATCAACTCAGTGGGAGTGGGTAAGTGGTAAATAAAGGAGCCCTGGTGGCACGGTGATTTAAGTACTTGGCTGCTAATTAAATGCTTGGTCCAAGGTTCAGATGTTGCTTAGAGGGTCCAACATGTAGCTCAACCCTTGTGTACTGTCAGGTTGCTATCAGAATCACCTCCATGGTAGTGTGTTTGGCTTGGTCCAAAGTTAATGCTTCCATGCAGCCAACAATCCTATACGCTCCCTATAGCTGGGCTGAGTAATTTCCATTCAGGGCAACTTTCCATTGGTTTCTGAGGCTCTAAAGCTTTAGGAGGAGATATCTCTCTCCTGCACAGCGACTGGTGTAGTCAAACTGCCAACCTTTCAGGAAGCAGCCCTCAGAGGTCTGAAGGAGCTCCAGTGGCCTAAACTGTAGGAGGTTGTGCTGCTAAGCCAAAGACTGTCTCCCTAGTGTTTCAGATACACCAGGCACTCTGCAGGAGAAAGATGGGCAGTCTTCACTTTTCCAGTTTACAGCCCCAGAAACCCCTTGGAGGGTCAGCTATACATCATGCCATGAGGGCTCCTTAACAACCTTATCCAGTAGGTTCTAATACCACCTCTGCTTCTTCCTTTAAAGTGCTGTTATGAATGTTAACTACATGGCCCCATTCTGTGCACTGTCACATGCTATGACTATGAATTACCTCTTCACCCAGGCTTACCATCTTCACAGCCCACCTCATACTTGGCTAAAGCAAAGGGCCTTCCTCAAATCTAACTCAGATTCATTGTATCAAGTCAAATCAACTCATAACTGACCCTCCCATGGGTTGCTGAGGCTGTAAGTCGCCCAAGAAGAGATTGCCCATCTTTCTCCTGAAAAGTAACTGATGAATTTGAACTACCAGGCAGGCTTAGCCTTTGTATTAGCAACAGAGGTCCCTACATAGAGTAGGTCACCAGGGTACCTTCAAACCTAACTAGAAGGACCAAGCCAGTAAAGAATTCTCTAGAATGACTCCACAAAGAATACAGCTCTGTGTCACACTAGTGGAGCCAGAAATAAATGTAAGTGAGCAGCTCCCAAGAAGACCCCAGCTTTCTTCTCACCTGTGCAGATGTTGGAAACCACTGTTTTCTCTTCTGAGACCTCTTGGAGACCTCCATCCTCTGAGTTGGAGCTCATCTGTTTCTCTAGGTGGTTCTCTTTCTCATCTGTGTCCTCTGTTCCTCTCTCTTCTGAGTCACCTTCCCTGTCCTCGAAGTTTTCAAAATCAGAGCCCATCCCTCTGTCCTCCAAGTCCTGAGGTGCACACACACCCTGCTTATCTTCTTGTTCCATCCGGGAAGACCAGGGATCCCTGCTCCAGACAAAACACACATACAGAGAAAGGTCACAGTCTGGCAGTGACTGCCATGAAAGTCAGTGGAACAGTCCAAAAATAATGTATAGAGTTCCAAACGTCAGATGGCCGATATCAGCTCCAACTCCCATTTTAGGGTAAACAGAATGAAGAAAGAAGGCTGCGTTCAGTGGCGGAGGAATGTTCTGTTCTGCCACATGTCACAGCTCAACTAGACAACTAGGTCTGTTTCTGTGATGTGAGTGCCCATTTACGTGTTTCTGAACTTTCACAGTAGGGTATTTCTGCTATATAGCTGAGAAAACTTAGAGCACAAAAAGACACTATCAGTAGCCTACAGATGCATAACTTCAAAGCAGCAGGCCTCGGTTTTGAGTGCCACCAAGTCAGTTCTGACGTGTAGTGAAGAGAATGTGCCCATAGGGTTTCCTAGGCTAAAACCTTTACAGAAACAGATCACTAAGTTTATCTCCTGTGGAGTATATCTGAGAGGGTTTGAACCACCAACCTTTTCATTAGCAGCTCAGGACTTAATCATGTCACCAAAAGCATTCCATTTAAACAGTTGAAAATGCAGTCAAGACTATTCCAACTCATAGTCACTCTAGCCCCTTGTGGTAAGGAGCTGTGCTGCCAACCCAGAGGCATGCTGTTCAAATCCACCAGCTGTTCTGAAGGAGAGATGGGCAATTCCCTCCTGTACAATTTACTGCCTCTAAAAACCCACCACAGGGTCAGCCATAGGCTGTTTCTGAGTCAACAGTACATAACAATATTGATGGAAGCTGACAGGCCCCATCTTTTTCCCACAGAGCAGCTGGTGAGTTGAACAACTAACCTTTCAGTCAGCAGAACATCGAGCCTCCATACCACCAGGGCTCCTAGTCATTGCTCCTGTTGTTGTTAGGTGCCGTCAAGTTGAGGAGGATTTATAGCAACCCTATGAACAACCAACCTGAACCCTGCCCTGCACCACCCTCCCCCGAACCAAGTCTACTTCCATCAAGTCAGTTCTGACTCATGGTGACCCTTCAGTAATTCTCAGGGAGGTAAATTGTCACAGGAGTACACTTTTCTGCAGTGGAACCTCATCTTTCTGTATAGGAGCAGCTGTTGGATTTAAACCTGTGACTTTTTGGTTAGCAGCCTACCTCACTGATACATTAGTATCATGGCTCCTTGTCAGAAACACAAAGGGAGTAAAATGAAATAGCATTGCCACAGAACCCAAAGCTTCCTTTACTCTTACTACAGCTTGCCCTCCTCACAGGATTCCTTTAAGGAATAGTTAAGTGTGCATATAAGGAGCCAGAGGAAGAGTATGTTCAAGAATCAGTAACAGAAGCCTTAAGTACCTTAGATTCTGATATAACCCAAAGTTACTATTAGAAGCATCAACCTTGCTTTTCTGCTTTTCAGGCAACTATGAGTCAAGCTTTAATAGATATACTGAGGGCAGGAAGAAGAGGTGCAGGGACCTGTTTCATATAATGCTTATTCCTTATTGCTAACAATTACAGGTTGCTCAGCTCCACAAACAACACTCTTGGCACCAGCAGTCAGGAAATCAATAGACAAATTGCACTGGGAAAACCTGCTAACAGGGACCTCTCCAGAGTACTCAGAAGCAATGACGTCAGTCTGGAGACTAAAGTGCCTCTGATCCAGTCCATGATCTTTGCAGTTAATTGCTATGAATCAGAGAGCAGGACAGTGACTAAGGATGACAGAAGAATAGATGGCTTTGAGCTGTGGTGTTGGAGGAGAGTCTTGAACATACCATGGACTGCCAAGAAAACAAATAGGTCTGTTTTAGAGAGGGTGAAACCAAGTTTCTCCTTGGAGGCTAGGATTTTGAAGCACTCTCTCACATACTCTGGGCACATGGCCAGGAGGGACTGATCCCTGGAGAAGGACATTATGCTCAGAAGGGTAGGGGGACACCATAGAAGAGGAAGACCCTGGATGAGATGGATTTATACAGTTATGAAGGCAATAGGGGTAGGTGTGTTGGAGTCAGTGAGACTGGCTCAGGACATAGCAGGCTTCAGAGCTGTTGTACACAGGGTCACTATGAGTTGCAGGCGACTCGATGGCACACAGGTGTCATCAACCTAAGAAATCATAGCAACCCTATGAACAACAGATCTGAACCCTGCCCTCTCCTGCATCATCCTCCCAACCTCTGATATCCTCCAGCCCATTATTACAGTCACGGTGTCAGTCCATCTTGTACAAGTCCATCTGTCCAAGGAAGGCACCGCATGTATCAAGCACAATCAGAAAATACCAGCATGTGAATTGGTGGGAGGAGGGGAATGATACCAGATTCCCAAACCTATTACAGAAGTCAGGTATATATTTCAGATTTAAATGGCCCTCGGCCAAGGCTGAGCCACTTGAGCCCAAAATAATTTCATTGTGCCCTCCATTGCTCCTATAATTTAACTCAAGGCAAGAAAGCAGTTTCTAGGATCTTGAACTTCGAAGAAGCCCACTCTTTTTTTTTTTTTTTGTCTTTGTAGTCCCCAGAAGGACTTGCAAGAATATGGCTGAACCACTGTCACAGTGTCCCTTCCTTGGGTGGAAGTCAATGGCAGCAGCTATTCGCTCAGGCTGGGACAGCATCACTAGACAGCTCAAGGCAAGTCAATTAACCTCTCATTGTTTCAGCATCTTCCTCAGTATAAAGAGCGTGATGCTTCTTAACGCACAGAGAGAGTGGAGGAAACTAATTAAGAAACACTTTGGAAAATAGCACTGAGAGTTGCTGGTACTTTGAATTTTACAAGCATGGAAGACATCATTATTCCTTGATAAGTCTTGATGCCATCCCAGCAACAGACTGCTGTAATTCTGGCAGGCCAATGGCCTGAAAGAGCATGACATATCCTTTCTCAGGGATAATGAAATGCTCTCCAGAATAGAATGGGGAAAAAAATCAAGCCTTTTCTTTTAATAGGAAAATGGCTGGATCTAAAATTGGTTCACCAACAGTGCCCAGGGATACAGCTGAGTTCCTGTAGAATGAATGTACACAATTGAAAACTCCCAGTTTCAGAACCTTGGGTTTGCTTGTCCATCAACCCTCTCACCCATCATTGAGGTAACTATGATTCACAGCAACCCTGCAGAACAGAGCAGAACTGGTCTGGAGGGTTTCCAAGGCGGTAAATCTTTAGCAAGCAGACTGCCTTATCTTTCTCCCACAGAGCATCAGTGTTCTAACCCCTGGCCGTCTGAGTTAGCAGCTGAAGCTTATTATGTTAGACTGTAGGAGGAAATAGTAGAGCCATAACTCTTTTTAGGAGGTATGGACCACAAGAGTTAATTGACCCCTATCATTCTTTTGCTTCCTGGACCTCAACCTCAAAGTATATCCCTTGAGTCTGCAGGAGTCACACCGTAGGTGTAGAGGGAAGACAGGAGGAGTTTGCAAACAAATAATCTACAGGTTTTCGTAGTGGCTAAAAGCAGAAGAGAAGGACTAATTAAAAGAATTTTACATCAATAAAAGAATCAGAAGTTTGGCAGTCCATGAGATATTCAGTACTCTTCTTCAGCACAATTCAAAGGCATCAATTCTTTTGTCATCCTTATTCATTGTCCAGCTCTTTGATGAATAGCAGGTAACTGGTAAGATCATGGTCTGAACCAGGTACTCCTCAGTCTTCAATCTAACATCATTGCTCTTCATCATTTTGGAGAGGTTCCCAGAAACAGATTTGCCTACTGCAGTATGTCTCCTGATTTCTGGTACCAAGACTGTTGATTATTGATCCAGGACTCTATGGCACAAGGTAAAATGGCCTCATAGGGTTTCCAAGACTGTAATCTTTAGAGAAGTAGATTGCCACATCTTTCTCCCACAGAGCAGCTGGTTGGTCTGAGCCACAGTCAGGTGTTTTGACCACTGCACCACCGGGGCTTCTTAACATACTTCTTATTATTAGATGTTAATGAGTTGAATAGAACTCATAATGACAGATCTGAACCTTCTCTATCTTGCATCATCCTCATAAACTCTGATATGCTCAAGTCCACTGTTCCAGGCACTATGTCAGTCCATCTCATAAAGGGTCATCCTTCTCCGAGGGTAATCCTCTTTCTCTGATCCTTCCGTGCATGGCATGATGACTTCTTCTAAGGACTGGCTGCTCCTGACAACACGCCCAGAGAATGTGAGATAAAGTTTCAATATCCTTGCCTAGAAGGAACATCTCAGTTGTAATTCTACCAGACAGACTTGGATGTTCTTTTAACATGCATACATTAGCACAGATAGTTACACATCAAGAAATATAGAGAGAAAAGCCATTGTTTGTTAAAATGCCAACATTCAGATATCTCTGGGCTGCTTCTGGGGGCCTCACATTTATTAATGAGTTTAATCTTAACAACCCAATGAGGTGGGTAAGTACTTGAAACTTTACCATGAAAAAACAGCACAGAGAAGTCATACCAATTAAAAGGCACAGAGCAGGGCTCCCAAGACCCTGGAGTCTATCTCTGGAGCCTGGGCCCACATTATTAGACAAAACTCTATGTTAGTCCCTTATGCTGTGTCTTCTGGGAAGACTTCCTTTTAATGTATATCTCTATTTTCTCAAAACCCCATATTTTTATTAAAACAAAACAACTAGCTTTCATAACAGTCCACAAAGACAGTGTTCTGTATTCTACTTAGTTGAGTAGAGACTAGAGTCTATAGCTTTTTGAGCAGCCATCTGAGGGGCAACTATTGGTTTGTCCTGGTCTGGGACAAAGAAGAAGGAAGAAAAGCAAAGATAAATAAAAGGATGTAAGTCTAAGGACTAATGGGCCACATGAGCCTCACCTTCAACAACGCAGAGATCAAAAGAATGAGACGATACCTGGCTGCCATTGCTGGTGAGCAAGACACTGGTGAAGGACCCAAAACCACAGTTCTAAGACACCCTTCAAACCTGGAACTTGCCCTCATGGCTCACTTTTCAGC